TGTGTTTACAGTGTTGCATATATGCTGAAAAGTGAAAAAAAAAGCATAACTACTAAAATAGTGGCCCGATCATGCCGATTTTCAAACTTGACCTGCGTTTTAGTAAGATCAATTTTTCCTGTGAGTTTCATGACAACAGGCCTATCTGTTTTTGTTGAAATGTGTTTACAGTGTTGCATATATGCTGAAAAGTGAAAAAACAGCATAACTTCTACAATAATGGCCCGATCATGCTGATTTTCGAACTTGACCTGCATTTTATGAATATTCATCAGCTCTGTAAATATAAAGCCAAAAAGTAAAACTGTCTTCCACTTATCGTGTTTACAAGGAAAGTGCACGGCGACGGCGACAGCGGCGACGGCGACGACAGACGCAGGTGATGGCAATTGTACAGACACATCTGTGTCTGTACATAATAAACAATAGAAGCATTGTGGAAACTACAATGCTAACAATCCTGTTTTTACTTTGAGACAATAACTTACATCATGCGTCACCTTGCTAGGAGGCTTCTTTTTGGCAACTGCCCCTTTGCTGGGTGAATTGGAGGTGGGTCTGCTCATATCTACCCGCAACCTGGAAGTAATAATAAGATCTGATTATATTATAACAAGTTATTCAATACACTGAATACCAGAATATCAGGTTAAAAATAAGCCATTCCAGTTAAGTTTGAATTAATGGATTTTTTTGGACTACAAGTATGTGACATGTCACATCACATGCCTCAATGGTTGGTAACTCTGGCTAAAATGAACACTAGAGTAAAATTGTAAGCAGGAATTGGAATTCATTGACTTGCAAGGGTTTTGCAAGGATTTTAAAATAAGGAGTCCAAATCCATTATCAGACTGAGACACCTAACAGTTGCCTAGCCTACGGCCTGTTGGCAAGATATTGCATACACTATAATTATCTTTTCTCTTTCTTATCGGATACACCACTGTTTACATAAACGTATAGCGGAATAAAAAGAGGGTCCGCGGGTGCTTGACTACAACGCAGTAGCAGTAGATCCTCTAGTTCTGGCAAGGCCCCCTCCTTAATAATCAGTTATGCCACAAAGTAATCACTTTATCGCAAAAAAGTGCACTCATTTGTCTGCCCTACTCACCACTGAATGGGGTCTTTTAAAAATAATAAACACACATCAAACAAAAGTGTAGCATCAAACGTTGTTAACAAAATTTAAGCAACGCGGTCACGAATGTTTCCTCCATGATGTCAACATCCTCGTTTTCGAATGTTAATCTCTAAACCTAAATTCTTTATGCAATGATCGTTAATTCTATCATTACATTTATGTTTGAAATCAATTAGAAAATAAATTCCACTGATTAGCGATGAATCCTACTGGATGAATAATTACTTTAGTGAAATGAAATACCTAGATTTGCATAAATGTTCGAGGCTATCAATGGACACGAGACTAATCGCAAGTCTCGAACATGTCGGATGACGCATGGGGTAGGTGCTATTAAAGTAACCAATATTTTTGGTGTTTTCTTTTTGTTATTGGGACCGATTTTCTTTCTATAAATACAATCTCATGTATTCCAGATGCCGATGATTTCGATCCTGATAAGGGATTCGAAGCCGTAAAAGTGCCAGGAGTAAGTAACGACAAATGGGAGGGTGAAGATGAAGAGGACGCAGTCAAGGTGTGGAGAATACACAAGGAATTTGTGATCATTAGACCTACTCTAGAACAGTTTAGAGCAGTCTCTGTCACGTTAGAAAAATATAGTTAATAGTGCACTGACATCGAGCAACCGATTATGTCGATTTTGTGGTCTGGCAAATACGAAGTTAATTCATGTTTACAGCCGTGAATATGACGAGTCTGCAACAGTAAATTCTTGCGTTAGAGATTTCAGGTAGTGTGTCCGCTCTAAGGCAGGGTGCTCTCCGATCTTTTTCTTACATCTTTTCTTACGTTTCACACTGCTGAGCCATGGTCGAAAGTGCTGAGAATAAGCTGTGATTTTGCTTATCTACCATTTACAAGTCACTGTGAAATCATAAACCCTTTGAAGACAACATGTAAACAGGCGCCTGAGTGTGCAAAGTGCCCCAGGATTTCTTTCTCACTCAGAAACAAACTCTCTTCTGATCTTATAGGTCAAGCAACTTGTGTTTTGCATAGTAGTGTTTTCAGTGGGTTGAAATCTCATGTCGAAATTTCACCAACTTGGCACATTTGGAAGTCCATTTATAATTGATGATCTTTAACTGGTATGTGATCTTATAACAGAAAAAAATGGTAGACGGCAGAAGAATCTTACCTTGTTCACAGTGCTGTCAACAAGGGAATTGGGTAGACTTTAGTAGTGTGTGACTTGAGGAGGTGAGAGGCAATAAAAGGATTAAAGAGCCTTTCACTGCATTTTTATCAATAAGCTTATTAGTAGGCATTAAAAGTTTTCTTATGCATGGATATTTCTATTGTAAAAGTGATAAATTGTTGTATTGTAGTGTATTCAGTAATACTGAACTTTAAATTTGTAGTTTTATATCCATTTCATGAACAGCTTGGCCTTGAGCTTTCATTTGAGTAATTCAGTGTTTCACTAGAGAATCAGAGACCACCGTGATGGTATGAAGTCATTTAATGTATCTGTTCTAACAAGTGATATGTATTATTCTCTTCAGGAGAGCTGGGAAGATGAGGATGAAGAAAAAGTAGATCTCCAAACGACAGGTAGGATAAATCTGATTTCTGCACAAAGTGATTTTGAAAATCTTATTTTATCTGAAAGATCATGTGAAGCAATTTGTTTCAGGAAGTATAAATAATTTCTTGATTGGTGACTATTTGAATTGATCACATTAAAAACTTTTTTCTAACGCATGAGAAAGAACGCATGAGAAAGACAAGTTACTTAAAGAGTCTGTAGAAATTTTAACTGAAACTACTGTTTTCAAATGAAAATGAATTTGCCATATTAAATAAATAATCCTTAATTCCGTTTATCCTATGGTATTTGTGGTAGTGGCCCCCAAGAAAAAGAAAAAGACTGTGAAGGAAAAGATTGCAGAAAAAGAAGAAAAGAAGAGGTTGGAACATGAGGCAAGGATAAAAGCTGTAAGTTTCTGCTCAAAAGTGATTGTGGATGAAATTTAGTGCTTATGGAAGATTTAAGCACTTATATACATTAAAAGACAATGAGGTATACTGTTATCATGTTTTTGATAAATATCAAGTACTTAACCGCTTATGTAAGAGTTTCTTTCACTTTATGAATTCATTCAAAACACTTTCAAAACGTATCAAGAGATTAATGTTCGTCATTTATTGATACCAGACTTATTTTAACTATCTAGCAATTGTAAGCAGCTGGTCATGATCTCGAAACCAACTTTTACTACATGTTCTTTATAGGTTCTTAATGTTGCATAATGATATTATTTTTTTCTGCGGTCTTTTACAATTTTCTAGTACTTTGAAACAAGAGGTTGATCAAATTCCAATCTCTATTGTAAATTTTTCTTTCTTTTGTGTAAATATACTAGGCTTGTCCCAAAAAAGATCATAAAACAAAACTATTGCGTATTGTAGTTGCTTTTTAGATAATAACAATTGAGGACCATTAATATTATGTTAATTTTGTAATTTATCCAGTTCTTCTTTCAGAATAGATATGCTGGCCTCTGTGTTTATTAATTTTTTTACTATTTTATTAAGATGGAGGCAATGACACCAGAGGAAAAATTAGCAGAAAAACTTAGACTCCAGAAACTGCAGGAAGAAGGAGATCTGGAGATAGCCAAGGAAACTTTTGGTAAGTCTTGTGGCAAATGATATTGGAAGAGATGGTGGTTAAATGGAATTCTTGGGGGGCAGAGTATTAAAAGGTTTGAATACATGTTTGAAAATGTTCCAAAGTAATATTTTTGTTTTAAAATATCCTGCAAAACTACTTGCGTTTCCCAAATTTAGATAAACCACCTCAAATAAAAGTACCTGATGTTGATGTTTTCTTGCAAAATGTTAGGAAGACATGATTGTCTAAATGACACTTGGTTTGTTTAAAACTTAGGGCTAAGTTATTTAAAAAGAAATGGTACAAAAAATTGAATCTTAGTGCATGGATGGGTTGCGCAGTGATTTATGGGTAGGTGGAGGAATATGAATTTTGGCTTAAAATCCCATATTGAATAGATTTAATGTTAAATGTTCAGTCTGAAATGGTTTTGTAATTGATCTAAATGTGCGGCCAAAAATTGCTCCTTATTGAAAAATAATCCAAATAGTCCTGTTTTACATTACTCAGGCATGCAGCAAGGTCTTGGGAAGACGGGAATTGATGCTATGCACCCAGTGTCAAAAGATGAGTTTGAGGAATTCGAAAAAGCACTGAAGGATAAACTTATACAGTATGAAGTGAGTTTCTAATGTATCTTGATTAATTTGTATTTTCTACTTTGGTTTGTTATTCTTTTCTCTTTGGAACACCTTAAAAGCTATAGACAATTTCTTCAAATTTTATTTATTTTTGTATATCTATAATGTTTATAGTTTTCAGTTTTCAGTCATGTTTTTCACTTTGTTTTTAATTATATCATGTGTCATATGCCAAAATACATAACAGTTTCCATACATCTCACATTACCTTTGTTCTTTTATTTTCAGAAATCTGCATTTTATGTAGCTTTTCTAGAAAATTTGTTTAGAGATGTCACTGCTGGATGTAAGTATTAATGATCTTGAGGGACAATCATTATAAACTCTTATCTTATTTAACTCTTTTTAACTTAAGCATAGATGCACATGGAAGGAAACTGATTAATGAAAGTAATGTAGAATTCACTTATTTATGTATTAATGATTCTTTTCCAGTGGAGGTTGATGATGTAAAAAAATTAGCTAGCACATTGAATGCAATTTCAAATGAAAAGACAAAAGCAGAAAAAGTAAGTGATAGAGACTTTGAAGAATATTTAGCTTTAATTATTAATAATTGCGATAAAACAGCATTGGTATGTCTTAATGTGAAAGTAATGTACTCTTTCCCCAGATAAATTGTATTACGACACATAGCACTTCACTGTTTAATTTAGAGCTTCACTGTTTAATTTTTGTTTCACAGTTATATATAAATATGTCTGCAGGGTACAGTTACATTAAGATATGTGTATCATTATTCTATTTGCAGGCCTTAAAAGGGAAGAAAAAGAAAAAAGCAAGTAGCCTTAATGTGGGACGAGGAGATATAATGGACAGTATTGGTGCAGCTGATGATTATGGAGATGAATTTGATGATTTCATTTAGCACCAGATTAGATTGCTATTGATAAACTTTTTCAAGAAAATTCAGGGTTACTTAAAACATCAACTCTTTTGCCAGAAACAACCTGTAATACCTGGCTAAATTGGAAGTAATCACTAATGACTTTTCTGAATTGATTTTTATAGGACAATTTTTATGAAGATATTTTTGGTAGATGGGGCAGCTATTTATACAATATATATATTCTCAAACACTGACTATGCTTGCAATTGATTCCAACCAGCCTCACCGTTTCACAGTAAGATATATTGCTAGACTTCACAGATTGAAAGTGAAAGTGACTGCCCTGTTAATTTGTATGCTTACAAATATTCCGATATTTTGGTTTCTCTTTATAAAATAAGAAATTTTGGTTATATTTATGTAAGTGGGGGTTATAATAGTTTCAGATCAATGATTGAAATCCCAGTTCGGAAGTGCGTTAAAGAAATGCAGGAGAATTTCCTGGCGACAATTTTCTGGTACTTCCTTATTATAGATTCTTATTTCTTGAATTTTACTAAACGAAGACGGTATTCTTTTTAGGAGAAATGGGAGCATAAGAATGTCCATAATTGGAAGGTGTGTGCCTGGGTTTTCTTGATGACGCTATGAACCATATTTCATTTGTCTTCATAAGTGTTTGTGAAAATGAAGTCTTCCTTAAACCATTTCTATAGACTTAGAATATTGTCCTGCAAAACTAACTGACCACATATGATATATAGAACATGCTCTAAACAAAAATGTTCATCGACGAATTTTTGTGAAATTATTTGTTAAAACAAGTTAAAACGGCGTTTGAGCTGTTTTTCATTAATGTAATGAAACGTCTATTAAAGTCTGGAATAGCATGTCAATTGTGGTTGTTGAGTTTGACGTCCTGGTGGTTGTGACCAGCTAAACGCGGGTGTGGAAATTAATGCCGAGCAGTGTATTATTAATTTTTTCATCAATGTTATTCTTTCACATGTCGCATGGAAGTCCTATATTCAATATTCCATTTGAAGCGTGTCAATTTCAAAGTAAACATTTTGGTTCCTGCAAGTGATGAACATTATATGTGTCTGCCTGTTTTTTAACGGTTTTGCTCTGGAGATTTCGTTTGCATATAAAAAGGCACTTATGTGAGACACTGGTGCGGCAGTTGGACAAAAAGAACTGTTGTTATGTCGTTCCTGTGCAGACAATAAACCCGACTTAATTCAACTGGTGAGATCGATTTAGAAATTACCTTGAAATTGATATCCACCTTGCTTACTAAAAGCAACCCTGAATCAATCAGCCTTTTTACCTGTCCTTTTTTATTGTAAACGACGGGGTATTTAGTGATTCCCCAGGTAGTAAAATTGGATCCTCACTGCAAATTGCAGGTTCATACTTCGATCTTCTCTTCGTTATTATGTTTGTATGGAATCGGTAACTAAACAGAGCTTCAATAGGCTCCCATGTTTAATATTGACACTCTTAGTGATTATAATAGATCAGGAGACTTGGCAATGGTTGGTGTTAGAAACGCCATTGTTGACAGCCGTGTTAGTGTAAATGTTATTATTGAATTGCGACATTCGATTTTCTGCTACTACACGAAAACTGCGTATCATTTAGGTTCTTTTGAGTCCCGCTAGTGGGCTGAAACCCGTTAACATGGAGAGAATTGCCCACTCTTGCTTATATGTACCAACTCTCAAGTATCAGCCCGCCCCCTGAAGAAATTGAAAGTTAAATCTTTAACTAAATTCCTTAATGCCTCTAGTGAAGTATGATTCTCCACCCTCTCCAAAACACAAGCATACGATTAGATAACTGTGCTTTTCAAAATTCACGTACAATCTGTTCGACATTTTTAAAAGACAGAAAAGAAAAATATTTACGTAATAAGGTGAATAGGGTGAATATTTATGTCGAAAGGTGCTGACCACAGAAATTAACAATTACATTAACAAGATATGGAATAGTTTTCATCATCATTGAATATAATGCAAAATCGCTTCAAAACAAATAGGTAGACTCTTTATTCTACATAAATGATAAAGATTTATTCCAGACAAAGATTGTTTTGCATAACTACATATCTTAACGATCAAAACAAAAGGGTCAGGAATAATTCATTAACTTCAATTAAGGTATCAATATTTCTACTTGTCGGGTGCAGCGAGCCGTGAAACTATATCCTTTACCTGATTTTAATAATGGAACACTCCAAGTGGCAACCAGTCGATCAGGGCAATGACGACAGCGACTACATCGACCCGAGAGACAAGGACCGCGCTGTGAAAAACGTCGTCTCTGGCAGATGTGTACGACTACTATACGAGTGCCACTGACACCGCACACGGGACGACTGGTGCCATGACTCTATCGGTAAATTTGACGGAGTAAGGCGTCACTTAAGATTTAAGTTACAAAATTTCTGTTAGACTTTGTAAATAGTTCAGTGGATTTTGAGATATCTTCCAGATGGACAATTTTACACTTTCGAAACAACAAGAGGGTCCACAGCTTGTTTTAAGTATCTAACTCACGTGTATAAGCCCACGAGTAGGTGTAGAGAGCAATGTGTAAACTCGGTATTCCTTCTTGGATTTCAACATTAAGAAAAGTTTTACTAGATAAGTAGGCACTTACAATCAGCTTCAAGTAACGCGTACCTTTAAGTCTCATCTCCTTTTCTACCGTTCTTTCTTAGGGGGAGCGTCGCCTGTGCTTCGTATTACAACGTGAATAGTCAAATGTACAAAACATATTGAAATCCATCGCATTAAAACAGTTTTCACCAAAAAAGTACTGTCGCAGGACGGGAAGACGCTGCCAGAAAGGACAACGGTCATTTCCTTCCTTTAAGCATGGCCTTGGATAAAAAGAAGCGCGAAAATAAACGATTTGGGGACAAGAGGATTACGCTGAATATTGGTGGGCATAGGCATGAAACATGGCTGAGTACCCTGAAAACCATTCCTGGAAGTCGTCTGTATCATTTGGCCAATATGCAAGAAGCAGATGAGAGTTACGACCCGGTGAATAAAGAATATTTTTTCGATCGTCATCCAATTGCGTTTGCCACCATACTTCAATACTACCGTGTTGGAGAGCTCCACATGGATCAGACCTTGTGCGGGAATGTGATGGATGATGTAAGTTGTTTTAATGAATTATTTTGTTTTGTGCAGCCATCAGTTGCTTTCTATCTGAACGTTACCTGAACGTTTGTTTGTTTCGTTTTTCATGTCGCCTAACGATACCTAATCACCCTCACTTGCAGGATTGTTGCGCATCATGCTTACGGAAAATAAATTTCAATGTTAAGAATTTTTTCTGTATAGAACCAAATGCGTCTTAATAGTTGATATTATGTTCTTTTCGAGCATTCTGAAGCTCATCTCGATAACCTGACAGTGGACACCGCACAAACTGATCAGTTTACCCTCTGATTATAAAGAATATGTTAAATACGCTTAAAACACGAATTTAAAATTAAAATGCCACTATTTTATATATTGCTACTACTCACCCTTTCATTTGTATGTTTTTATAAATCAGGCATGACTTATTGGCAATCTACTCAATTATTATGAATAGCTTACGCGCTGGTTCCTGTCCAAGTAATTAGTATATCGACAAACAGATTATGTCATGGCACCGTTTACCTACAATTTATTATACACTTTTTATCACGGGAAAAAATTACTTCTTTTAAGCCATATGGTATCGACCTTATACAGAGACTCTTAATCGGACTCGTGTGTACATTTCCCATTGCTTTTCTTATCGCAACAAATGATGGTCACGAAAAAATACTGTTTTGGACACAAGCAATTACTTTGGTATATATTTATAACTATTGAAAGAAATTCTTTAGAAGCACTGTATTTATTTCATTTCTATGAATCGGCATTCACGCAGGGCGCACCCTTCTTTCTTTTTTTTATCATTTCTGATTATATTTTTAATTCAGTTTTAACGCCTATTATATTACGTGTATGGATATTCTAAAAAAAGTATCAACAGAAGTCACTCTTTTTTCACAGATAAACTCCGAAAGCACTGGACAGCTATTCTTGACTTTTTTCTTTATCTATATCTTTCATCTTTAAAGTTTCCCGGATTTGCCGTAAAATACGTCATTGAAGTACACATTTATAGATATTTTTTATTCTTAACCTCTGTGTGATGAAAGATTAGTATAACATAATAGGGACATAATTTCATTAACGATAAGTACTTTGTGTTCCGATAGGAAGGTGACACTGGCTACGGTTCAGCTAAGTTATTAGAAAGATAACAGATAACCAGACATGGGTGAAGTATTTTCAAATAATCAGCTAAGCTTTATGTTCAGAGTCCCAAATGAACAACAACACATGAAAAGTATCTTGTTATTATTATTAGCTTTAGCATTTATTAAAGGCACACGGCAAAATGACCAACAACGGACACGTCCTGCGATCAATGCCGTCCATTGAACGCAGATCTGTGGATCTGCTGTCTCCGGCTCAGTCATCCGAACGTATGTCCTACTAACCGCAGGGCACCAAGCATTCAATGCACACGTGGGAGACGGTTAAAACAAAGCCTGTGTCAGACAACGTAGTTAAACATCTCCCTGGTTAATCGAAAACAAACTGAACGTGTTTTTCAAGCCCTGAAGTTAATCTCATTTTCTAACGTTCCCATCTTCTTTTTTTTTCCCTCTTGTCTCGGCAAATATGTACTTTGACAAGATATATGTACAATCTTTTATCTAAATATTGCGCAATTTGCAAAGTTTACCTAACATCTGGAATAAAAGATTTATTTATGTGAAGATTTTGAGAGAGAGAGAGATCCGGTGCCATATCATTGACTTAAGTTTTACCAACTTTAAACATGATTGTCGAATATTCTTTTGTTAGTAAAATGTGCCCCGAAAACAAAATGATGCTTTGGCAGTCCTAATTACAATTGACTTTTTATACGCGTAATTTTTCATTTTGGAATCTATTATCTCTAGATATTTGATAAGGTATATCCGATTTTAACACTCATACTTCAATCTGTGCGCGTGTTGAATATATTAATGACAGAAAACATTTATTCAAGACATTTCAATATTTGATAATACCGATTTAAGAAATTTGTTGATTCTTTACATATTTGAACAGAAAGAACATAGGCTGAGATTAAATTTACTAACTATAGATTTTTAATGTTTTTTTCAGAGACATTTGTGCAATGATTAGTAGAACAAAAGAAGTTGATTCTATATATCGACTGTTTAAATGTACTGAAACTTGTCAATACACGTTTAACACAAGATATCTGTCCAAGATATCGTACAAACACACATCCACTTGAAAACATTTCGTGATATGATGCTATAGGGCGTTTGGGCTACAAACAAAACACGATTTAAGTAAAGTGTATATGGTTTTTATTTTCCCTATACATTAAACGCCATGGTTTCTTGATTCAAAAGACGTTTCTTGCGGCGATAAGTAGGACTATTTTGAATGATAGAGCGTCATATTCTCCTAATTTTTTTTCGGATAATTTCTTTTTTCACACTTGCTCTGTTGTGTTGTGTTGTGTTGCATTGTGTTGTGTTGTGTTAGTTTGTTGACTACATTGATTCAGGCATACTCATTTTAATTAGTTTAACTATTGAATAAATAATATCGTTTAAGCGCATTTTGTTTTAATAATAAAATAACACCCCCTAGTTTCCTTTTTTTCTCTCATGCAGAAAAAGCTTGCTATCGACCCGTATCCGACGAAGCTAAATTCCAGCAAAATAATAGACTATTGTCAAGGAACACAGAAAAAGTTGCCTTCGGTGACGGAAACCTGCTTCTGCGAAAATAAAGTTTTCTTCTAACGGTGACGGACATTTAGTCGCCTTTAAAAGCTAACATGGTGACACAAAAACACAAGGGATCACAGCTCTATTTTGACGGGAAATTACAATATTGAGGTGTAGTTCGACAGTGAGGTTATTCTGTGCAATACCCTTTTTATAAATCTAATTGCATCTTCTAGACTGTAAAGGAAAAATGTATGTATATTTTAAATATGTTAATGATAATACATGCGATAGTATATTGAGATTTATTAGGACGTTGTCACATTTGGCAATTCTGCGTACTACATTTGTTTTGGGCATGTAGGATGCGATTATAGTACATCACAGCAAATACATTAAGATCTGAATGTTAACAAAATCAAACACAAAGTCTGGCAACATTGAAAAGAATAAATCAAGAAATCTGATTCAGTTCGTGCGCGGCGTGCTATGCAGTTTCCGGATCCTGATTAGTGCATTCAACCTTCAAGTACTTTGTAACGTTTTATATTATAAAAATGTAGTATCTCAGAGAAGACTGTCTCAGCATAGATCTAAATATAGCCAGGTAATTGACTGTTATTGTAACAACGTAACATATAAATTGGCAGTAGTTAGGGTGACAGATACTTCACTGGTTTAGTTTTAATAATTCAAATGATAAACGTTCCCCTGCACAACTTTCTTCCCAAAGGGCAAGTGACGGCCCAGGCTTGAGTTCATGACGTGTGCTCGTTCATATATAACTGACAGATTGAGTGTCAGCTAACTCATCAGTACGTGTAACCGTTCAGTGTTTAAAGAAAAATGACTCTGAACACATAGACATGCAGGAAAGACGCGTCACCATCGCGTTCCATCTGATCCCAATGGACCTTACTGTGGAGATGATTAAAGGTCAGATAGACAAGTAATATATTGATGAGATGTTGAAAATGCTTCAAATGCATTTCCTGAACCTGATTTCCAAGAATGATCAATTTACATTTTTGTTCGAGGTCGGTAAAATACGACCATGTTAACAGATGCGGTGATGAGATGATACAAAAGCTCTGTTTTTTAAGTGACGAATTGGGAATGAGTCGTCTGCACGCATACGCAACACCTGGTATTGCTTTTAGTGATTTATCTATAGTAACTGGCATACACCCGAAATTTATAGACTTACAAGAGTATTGGGATTCTTGTGTAGGAGAAATATAGCCTAAAAAGGAGATTACATTAACATTAGTGACTTTTATGCATTGTTTGACCCCGGGGTTTTCTCCACTGGACTTTATTGTGTATATAATTATTTGATAGTTTTGCATTACTGCCAAAAATAAGAAGAAAGAAATGAAAAGTTAAAAAATACATATTGATTAAAAGATTATTCAAAGAATGTGAATCTCTGAAAATTTTCAAATCCCCTCGTCAATTGGTTGTTCCATTATATCTTTATTTTGACGTAAAACTCGTTGTCTGTTGAAGTGAGGCATTTTCTGATACGGTTTATTTTGTGAGAGGATAGCCTAGCAATTTAAAAGAGAAGGGCATTTGATATAGGGCCTGTGAAATAAAATTTCATATATTCACATATTTATAAAAGTTCGATTACATAAAACCCAATGCCTTGCCATTAAAACAGCGGATCTTTGTATTAAAAACTGCTGGTTTGCTGAGTTAAACTGAAAGAAAATCCATGAGAAAAGTTAGGCCCAGCACTGAGATATGTGCAAGTTAAATACAGCCATGTTAAAAAGCACACCTGTGCGCAAATTAAGAACGTCATAATTGTGCAACGATCAATAAGCTTATCATCTTCACGATTTAAAGAACAAATAATTCAATTTTGATTGAAAACGAACAAAGGGTGGGTGAAATAATAAAGCTGGACTTTTTTGATCTATATAGATTTCGCCCATACTGAAAAAAGATGTACTTAGTTCATCAATAAAACATCCGCAGTATCGACTATGTACATATCTGTGTTCATGCACCATGTAATAACTTCAATTAATTGCTCACGTGTGTGGTCAAACATGATCCCGCCATTCACGCTCCGGTCAAACACAAAATTAGACATGAATTTCGGAACATTGAATCAACTTTACTTGACGTAAAATGAACCCTGAATTTAAACATAAAAAACTCTACTCCAATAATGTCATCCGTAAATAACTTATGATACAATTGGCCTAGAGCGCCACAGTGGCAAAAATCACATGAAAATCTATCCACCTATTTTTTGTACAACAAAGAAATAATCTGATGTCAGTAAGTCGATACTGCGTTTCCAGATTTAACCTAATGTAATTGAAAACTTTAAAAGAACAATTAATCAATCAGTGGTCAATGAGTGTAATAATAAATATCCTAAACTACTAATTACCCCCCTCTCTCTCTCTCTCTCTCTCTCTCTCTCTCTCTCTCTCTTTCGTGTGTGACAAGCTAGACCATCCTAGAGAGATCTCAGTAACTGTCTGCTGCCCTAATGTGCGACCTGGGAATGGTGACCTTGCCAGTTGTTGGCCGTCACATTTTTGATTGATACTAGTACGTTCTCATTAAATGATAAATTTCTCTGAGAAAAACGACATAAAAACTTGTCTGCCAGCATTGGTAAGGTAGTTTTGAATAGGTCTACAGTCTGTTGCATTAGTCTTGCAATACTGCGATAAGTTTTCCCTTTAAACCATTCATCAGTTGTCACTGTGGTATTCATAAAACAGTACGTCGCCTGTGGCTTTTGTTCATCCTTCTGTTATTTCAGCTCATCTATTTTCCACCGATGATAGCGCAACATCTGCTTAACAAGTACATTAAAGTGTTCATTCGAACACGACTCAATGAATTTATCTTTTTGTTTCCCTCGGGAGATTTGTTAAGTGCAGGAATTAATTATGTTTGAAATAATCGTTAACAGTTATTTTTCAGATTAGAACATTTAAGATATTAAACTCTTACTTTTATGTGCTCTCTCACCTTCCCCCTCCCCCCCTGCCCCCCCCCCTCTCTCTCGATCGATTTACCGTGCCTGGTGATTTTTTTCAGTGTGATCATACTATAAATGTATTTGTTTCAAATATCAGGAAAGAGCACAATTCTAGGACGGCGGTTTTTATTTGTAGCGCGAGCAGTTCCTAGGCAACCGCATTAAATTGATAAGTAATGGAACACTACTTCAAAAAATACACGTTTGAGGTGCATGTACTACCGGTATCCGCCTTATCAATCTTTGTGTTTCCGTAAAATCAAGCAAATATAGTTGCATTTAAGCATCATAATTACGAAAAATAAGCCATCCATGTATACGGAAGAGGTGCATTTAATTATTGATTAAAAAGAAATTGAACAAAGAAACTCAGACGAGAAGATTAGAAGAATGATACTTTAATATTTACGACAAATGGGTGCGTGTCAATTTTCAACATCTTTTATACGTGCATATTGACTACCTTTTTGTGAAGTTAAAAGTAGGTCGATTTCACTATTTTTGGTGAGTTTGCAAATGTCTGGCATTATTGACAGTGGCTTTTCTCAGCTCAGTTCAGGCTAGAACAGTGACATAAAGTGTATGCTTGGTAAGGACGGTCACCGTCAGTACACTGGTACTCGAGGTGAAGATGTCACCTTGTAAATTAGAGTGCGCCCATACACATGGATAAAATCGTTTGATATTTGGATATCTAGTTATAGCTTTATTAAATTCTACAAATATTTGAATAAAGTCTTGTAACACGTCTCTTTATAAATTGCCAACAGCACAGCAAAATGATAATGCACAATACATCCCATTTAAACTAGCAACGTTATATTTCTATGTGATTCACAGTTTTATTTTCCTTGTTCTTGTCATTTTCACGGTTTTTACATTTTTCTCAACAATGAATCCTAAAACTGTTCAATGTGGTTAAAATTGTTTATTCATACAGTAGATGTAAAATTGCATTTTTTGTTCCCCAGGAACTAGACTACTGGGGACTCAATGAGACAGACATTGAGACATGCTGCTGGAGCCATTACTATTCTTACCGAGAACATAAGAACACACTGGACGCACTGGACGAAAATTTTGGTCCGAATGATGTGTGTCCAGAACACTTCTCTCCCATGAGGCGAATGTTGTGGCAGTTTCTGGAAGATCCACAGTCTTCGAGAGCAGCAAAGGTAATGCACAAGTTCTATGGTGTCCTTGTTATATAAAGAGAGGGTGGGTGTTAAAGGAGTACAGGTACACTAGATAGATTGCAGGTTGTTTTGATGGAGACAATTCAGTAAAATACCCTCAAACAATTATGCTCTATTTTCAATGACTTACGCATATGCTATTTTCTATCAAAACGACTACTATAGTGCAGAAAAAAATTATAAAACTGTTAGTCTTTAGCTCCACGTATGTCTTAATATATACTATTTAAATGTTTTAAATGTATATATATAAATCCTCCAAGATATTTTAAATATGTTTTAGGTCATAGTAGCAAGTAGTAACTACAATAAGACGACGTTGTAAATGTTAAAACATCAAAGGGGTGAAAATGACAACAGCACATTTCAAATTTCAGGCATATGCTGTCATTTCTATGGCGTTTGTCGGCATCTCCATTCTCGTGTTCGTTCTGGAAACTCACCCGTTTTTCCAGCAGCCTTCAACCTCTAATTCAACTTCATTGCTGGTAGATTATACACAGTGCGTATGCCTTGAAGAACCAAAGTTTGTAGAAGGCGTTCCTTTACAAGTCATGACGATCATCGATTATGTATGTGTGGGTTTCTTTACCATTGAGCTGTTGGCAAGATTTCTTGTCGCTCCGTCCAAATTGGCTTTCTGGAAAGAGGTTTTAAATCTGATCGACTTGATCTGTTTGATTCCCAACTACATCGATATCATCAGAGAGATCGTTGAGCCAGGGTCGACAAATTCTGCTTTGAAATTCTTGGTGGTGTTCAGAATCATACGCATATTGCGTGTATTCAAACTTATGAAACATTACGGCGCTTTCAAAATATTGGTGTACACCATTAAGGTCAGCGCGAAGGAGTTACTGCTGATGGTGATATTTTTGTTCACCGGTGTTTTGATATTTGCAAGTATCATCTATTATGCAGAACCGTCGAACTTTAAGAACATTCCTATTGGGTTCTGGTGGGCTTTAGTGACAATGACAACAGTAGGATATGGAGACAAGTTTCCCAAAGAAGCGCTCGGCTACTTCATTGGGTGTGCTTGTGTGCTATGTGGCGTTCTTACGATTGCTTTCACCGTGCCTATCGTCGTTAACAACTTCAGTCTGTATTACTCGCACGCACAATCCCGCCTGCAGATGCCGCAGGCGAAGAAGAAAAAGGCATGGTGTTCCGTCGATCCTGTTGATCACACTGTTGAATTTGAACCGGACAGCAAACCGGAATTTAGGAACAACTTGAACATTTATGCCAACAAGGTCCCTGCCGCTGGAAAAGAAATAAATTTCGAGGAGTCGAGATCGCGGCGGCCGTCTGGTCGCACTTCAACTGCCGCCCTAAAGAGTACGGAGAGTTTGACCGACAACACGGCAATACTGCAAGATCTACAAGAAGAATTGTCCGATGAAGCGTCGTCATCGTCAGCTGTACCAGTCACAGACAAGGTAAGGCATACGAAGAGTAAGTGTCAAGCCTATGTGCCTGTGTCTTTAAACTTTTTTATCAAAGTCTACGGGCAACATATATAATCAATGGAAATCATACTTGGTTTAACTTGTATGAGTGCGTGCACTTTCACGTTTGAAGAAATTTATTTTGTGTGTACAAACATTTTATGGGTTCAGCAGTTATACGCTTAGGTTTTAAAGCCACCTGTAACATCACATATCGGTGATATCAAAATAATTTCTTTAAAATAAAAAATAAACAACAAATATTAAATAAATGACATTTTCCTCAAAATAATATTTAGTATTATTTGTTTGATTAAAATTATTTACAGCTGCAATAGTAACAAAAATTAAATCACACTGGGGTTTTATTAAGGCCATTTCGTTTCTTTCGGACCCAGCGGTATCTAAAATTGATCTTGAAAACATTTGAATAGAGTGTTGGGAGAGAATGGCAAGAGCTGACATTAGGCATAATGAAAAAGTATCGAAAACACGATCAAATTCCGTTTTAATTAAATATTTTGGGTCAGTGAATCGTAGCAAAAGAGATTGGATACTTAAATCTATGCATAACCTTTCAGGTCGAAGTTGAGACCCACAAGCTTATGTCAGGACTGAAAAATGTGAGTCAACGACTAATGGACGAGCGCAGACGACAGGTGGATCTCATTCATAAAAGGCGGGAAGAACGAAAACAGCAACGCAATGAGGAAAAAGTTGTGATCACCGATGAACAGAACCAGTCAAGTCCGCGAGACAACTCCACAGAGGAAAAGGAATAAAGAAAAAAATGTTATTCCAACAGATACAGGAAATGATCAAATCTGTGGACCCCTGTGTGCTCTATTTGTTGATACCACCTGCATTTTTTATCGATGGAAAGTTGAATTAAGGACGAATTTCGCAAAGATGGACAAAAAACCTGATTTTGATCAGTTGCTCAGGGTGTGATAGAGCATTTATTTTTTTGGACAAAAATAGACTTGTTTTGTTATTCAAAGGTGATCTTATCGCCTTATTATAACTTTGTTTTACTTTGTGTTGTGAGGTAACAGTTTATGGATTTTTGCCAGCTCGTAGATATGGTTATTGGAGCAGAGATAAAGTTGCCAGCGTCATTTATATGTTCAAAACTCGTGTTCTTTATAATAAAGTAAAGGAAAGGGAGATGGTAACCAAAAATGAAAAGAAAACTTGCAAATAAATGCAATAGACAGTACTCAAGGTATTCATATGTACAGAGGACTTCAAGTCTAATTATTAGAGTATAACCTGTATATGCTTATTTTTATCTCCTCTATCTCGAGTGGTATGAGGTCCAATAGCGGCATTGGTGACAAAACACAATGTAGTCAATTTAGGCCGCTTTTTTCAATTGCAAATGAATTATTGTGAATTTACTATAAATAAATGTCCAAGTAATCAAGATGGTAATCCAAATGATTGATGAGAGCACTTAATCCAAGATTTTTATGATAATCAGTTGCTCATAAACCAATTTTGTGTAGTTCCAAGGAGACCGAACCAACCGATTGCTTTTGTCAAAATTCAGACTTCAGCCTAGTTGTAATTTATCGAATGTTATTTCATATCTTCATATAAAAGTTTATTCTTAGATTCTTATATTCGATGTGAAACTTGAATTCAATATCAGTGCAGTCCGTCCAAAAGTGTAAATACAGAATTTATTGATGTATAGGAGCATCCGCCCACTTTCACTTTATCTATTTTGATAACCTTAATTTTATAAATAAGATATCAGACGTTAATTAGAAAACTCTGTGTTCTAAGCCTTTATTCCGTCCTGGTGCGTTGATTTCAACTCCTGATCAGGTCTATAAACAGCCTCTTCGTTGTTGTTCAGTGTAAGAAATAACACAATCCGTCCACTCTTAATTACTCGTTACTCATTA